CCATATTAATATTACGCCAATATGTTAAGCATACTAAGTTGTCATTGTTGCTATAGTTTTGCAAAATTTTCATTTTTGATTCATAATGTGGGGTAATTGTTATTTTTGGCGTTCCTACGTAAATTGCCATGAATTAAAGTTGTTCTTTCCAATAGGCGATTGATAATAATTTGATAACATGAATATATGAATAAATATAGCCCTTTTCAAGGTCATTGAAGTGATTTTTTGATATAATTTGTTATCCGTGTCTCTGAAGTCCTGATAAAGTTTTCCTGTGCGAAAGTTGAAGATTGATTAACTATAGCTACTAATAAACTGAGTTATAGTTCGCCTAACGATATACCGTTATCTACTACTACATAATCCGGTATCTAACTTTTAACTTTTAAAGTTATTCTACATGAAAATAATTACTATCGTCACTGGACTCCCCCACATTAATAATAATTTCTGATTCTAGTCTACTTCTGTTAACATTGTCTTCTTCGATTACATTTTCTACATATTTTTTCCAACTAAAAGCAGACATTTTTTCTACCGCACTTCTAATTAATTTTATTGCCTAGAACTCAATTTCGCGGAGTGTTGTTTCTTCTTAAACTGCAGAAAAAATTGCAGTGATATGATGGAAGACGGCCAACTTTGACATATGAAGTGTTCCCACTATTCTGGCATGGTGGACATCAAGTTGACTTTTTGAGACCCCACGTTAATTTTATGGCCCCACTTTCCCCAGATGTCGATTTCAGAAATGGAAACACATTTAAAATGATAATTTTGACAGCAACGGGCAAAATGTTCGAGTCATTTATTCATTTGAATTTGACGGAGGTTTATCATCCACGATTATTGCACCATCGACCACAATCTCTACTTCTTCATTTGGTAAGAAATAAATTGTAATAAAATGTATATGGTGCCGTAACAAAAATGGCATCCTGAGTTTTGAAAACCAATTGAATAACAAGTTAAGTAAGTTGGTAATTACTAAATAAAACTTACAGCAAACTGGGAAAACATCCATATTAAATCGATTATCTACATAAGATTTCGTATTACTTTCCTAGGAAACTGTCTGTCCTGTCTAATGGGCAAATTCAACTTGAAATCGAGCTACTCCAAGTAAAGACTGTTTCAGGAAGATGTCTAAAAAGCACGCTAATATGAATTAATATAAGAGTTTCTCTACTCTTAAAATACAACAGTCCGCACGGCACAGTTCTCGTCTGCTAACATCTTAAATGTGGTCCTGGCTTGTGGTACACGTACTAAAAAGAAATGCGGGTCTTCAACTTATTCCGAAGTCAGAACCATAAAAGTTCAACCTACTGGCGAGATGTTGACTTTGAAACCCCAATGCTGTGCTGTGATTCTATTCAAAAAATTAACAAGTGTTATGCAGATAAAAAGAAGTGAGTAAAGGTCAACTATAATAAAACCAAAATACAAATTCAATATCCCATAATAATTAACCATCAGCACAATATTCTGTCCTGGTAAGACTGTGCCTTTGCTACTTTTAACACATTTGAAGGTCGAATTTATTAGGGGCGACTTCGTTTTTTAACTTTGCCGTTTTCACCTTTTTGTAAAACGAAGCGATTGATAAAATCCATTAGTCTTGCTAAACAGCAAGCGTAAATTTTATACGCAAAATCAGCCGGACACCTGTCTAATCGAAGCAATTAATAATTTGCGTAATATTTAGATGATTATTCTTTAAAAACCGTTCACTAGGTGATTAATTTTACATCCATGATTAATTCTACATTCATCGGCGTCTAATCAGTTTTCATTCCTTTCCCGCGAAACATGTCCAAGGCTTCTCCGATAATGTACCCCATTTGAAATCGTTAATTTATCACACAACTACTTTGTTGTTGTTTTTAGGGTTTCAATATATTTCAAAGAATTTGCACGGTACCGAAGTTTAGAATTAGGGCACATTTGTCTTATTTAAAAATAATTGAATAACTGAAGCGTTTTAGCTTCTAAACAATAAAGTAAATATGTGTGTTACAACCAACAGAGCAACTACATGTGCGTAGGTATAGGATTAACCAGAAAATTCGTTATCATAATAAATATTTTGTATACATATAAAGCAAGTATTTATAGTCTTTTTGACTCAGACAAGCTATTTATTTGTAGTACGTGATAATAATGGTAACAATATAGGGCGGCAGATAATTATGGAGCAAATAAGCCAACAAAATAACTGAATATATCTAATCTACATTTTAAATTTAGAAAATAGAAATAAATTTTCTGTACCAATATAATATTTAGGCCTCTGGTTTGGACATGTTCGACAAAATATTTAAACTGCAGAAACGATATGGGTACTTAACAAATGTATATATTACGATTAGTGTACAGTATGTCACATTTTTGTGTTGCGGTTTTAGACTTAAGTTTTACATTTTTGGATACTAGGTTATTTGGAAATGTTGTATTTTTAGAAACCCTTCGTAGTTCGGCTGGACAGGGGTTTTTACGTATGATCCAGTGACGAAAAACTCACAAATTTCGATACACAATTTAAATTTATGTTTTCGTAGTGGATCAACCTGGACATCTTTTAATCTTATTATTATGAGCTTTTCAAAATGCGAAACACGAAATAGTTATTTTTAATACAAAGCATGTTTTTTTGTAACATGGTTATGTAAAAAAGTTAGTTGTGAAACAGTCATATTAATTTAGTAATTGCTCTTCTTTTTGCTATAACTCACGGTAACCCAAAAGAAATTCCTATTTAATATTGTACACACAGCAGTTTAATTTGGAATAAATTATATTTACGTAAAAAAAAATCTGCGTTTTCCATAAAAAATAAATTATTATATATATAAATCTCGTATGTATATTTTTGAAATATCAACAAAAAGGCTAATAAAATTACAAAGATAATACAAAAAAACAATTTTAGTTTACATGTTAACATTTGTCAGTTTCAGAAGAAAACTGACTACGTCACTGGGTCCTACATTTATCACCCTTTCGATAAAGTTACGCATAGCCGAGCTACAAAGGGCATTAATAATTGCAAAATTGCTAAAATCTAAAAAAAAATTGTTTATACCACCTTTGATTTAATGAAAAAGTAGCCTTGGCTCACGAAGGCTAGCTTTATTAAGTACATAAAAACATAGAAATCGCTAATTTATGTGTAAAGAAAAGATCTTATATATGACTTCAAAAGTTAACAAAAGCGGTACATAAATTTGTATCACATTTTCAAGTAAATCCAAAATAGTAAAAAAAATACTTTGGATGTGTATTGCCATTTTTGTTAAGTCTATAGCATGTGCGTGAATGCACCACTGGTTTTATCTGTGAAACAAAACTTTGCAACAATTAGCGTGTTCTTTAGTATTATTTTGGGCCCTGTGTAGTGAACGTTACAGTTCGTAAAACATAGCATTTCTGAGGTACTTGACTCAAAAGGAATTAGAGTCGGCTATGGAGGATAATTAAATAACAATGAAAGTCGTAAGTATTACTTGGATTTACGTATTCTTATGTGTTGTAGGGTTCCATTTCTTGTAAATTCGTGCTAAAATGACTGACGAAGAAGATATGAACGATAACATAAACCTACATAGTTTGGGGAACCAAATGATATAGTTGGAACTTTCGAGTTACATACACCGAATGATATAGCTGTCCTTCAACAGTCCTGTAATTCGTCAACTACCGAACCTGAATGGGACTCATCAGATGATGAAACCCTGAAATTCAAAAGAAGACGTATGCTTTCTGCAAATGGCAGGCTTGCTTCTACTGTCAAATGGAAGAAAGGTCAGATTGAGTACACTCACGCACCTATATCCGATGAATTTAGTTCATGCGAGGAACTAAAAAATAGGCTTTCTGGAAAAACTCCGCTTGAAATATTTTTTATGTTTTTTGATGACGACGTGATTGATTTGATTTTAAATCTTACATTGGCTTGCGACTTTTAAAAACTGATAAAACAATTACTCAAGGAAATGTTGCAACTGTCATAGATGAAGTGCCTTATGATAATCGAGGTCACCTCATGATTGTTCATGCTAATAAAGCCCAAAGGAGATGCAGAATCTGGCACAGCCACACAAATCACGTTTCTAATAAGTGAAATTAATGTTGTGCATTTACATACTCTATGCTTTGTAAAATATCACCAAAAATGAAACCGCGTGTTACAATTGGTATGATATGTTTATCATAAAATATTATGCGTTTTTCTGTATCAAATCGGGTTCTATTTAGAAAACAATCTACTTTTAGTTGTTTTCTGTCGAATTTGAACTTTCTTTTGTATATTTATGTATAAATTATATGTTACATCTTATGTGCCCCAAAACATTATTTAATGTTTTTCCCAGTGGTTCGTTTACCCTCCAGTATTTTTTTGTTTGTTTCAGATCAAAAAAAGATTTTTTTTTTTATGCTTGGGAAAATATGGGTTAATAAGACATATACACCATAAAATTATCAAAACTGGGACACACCGTATACTAGTAATTAACGAAATAAACGGAGATATCAACCAATTTCCCTTAAACAGCATCTATTTATAAAATTAACTGCGTATAAATAACCTGCGTTTAAGATCGTCACGGGGGTCTTCTATATTTACCAATTGCATACCAAAATGCATATTTTATCACTCACTTCGTAGCGCTTTGAGTAATAGATAATAATAAATAATGATACAGATAAACCTTTGATCGCTGCTATCTCTTAGCAGTTAGATGTCAGCATTATGGAAATTAGCCAAAGTATTAAAAAAAAACATACATATAACATGCATGTGCTGGATGATTCATTAATTAGATGCACATTCCTCAGTTTAAAATGGCAAAAAGTGGACGTTAGCTTCGGTCATCAATGATAATTGTATCGTATCTTGTTTATTTTTTGTCCTTTGCGCTGAGGAACTAGCTCGATTAACTAGCGTATTAACGAATCATCCTGTATATAATTAAGTGACACGTAAAAAAATGTACCTTAAGAAAAACCTCGAAGTAACGTGTTCTGCATCTGAAGAAACTTCGGCAATACCGGAACAAGAACCAGCGAGTACAAAATCTTTCCCGGTCTGCTATAGACAAACGATTTACAGTTAACGAGATCAGTTTCCGTTCGAAACGGTCATCACAATTGGTAAACAATCGCGATTGGGTCAAGTCGAACGACAGTGTTCGCACACGCACGTTGATTTTTTCAATATCGTCCGTCCTCATGCGGTTTCAGCGACCGGAATTGAACTAACTCCCACCAGTCGGAGACTTTGGCTTTTTAAACCGATTTAAAAAACAATAAACCACAGCGTCCGAATGTACGAAAATATAATCAACCACGAAGCAGGTAAACCGACCGATTGAGATTCCGAGTGTATTTATTTACACGGATGCGGCCCCAGGACGAAGATGAAACTTGTTTGGGTCTTGAAATACTCGGGAGATGCCAAAGCCTAACATTCACGCGTCCGACCGGAGTTCCAAATATTACGTATTTTATTTTCCTTGTATTTAGTGTTATCTTTACTTTTCCTTTAAAATTTTTAAATATAAATTTGTCATCTTTTCTGTCCAATTTAGTAGCGTTTCACTTCACTCTTTTTTAGTAGTATACCCACTTTATGTTGTGCGTATGTGTGTGTAAGTGCCCATCTCATTTCAAAATTGCTTTAATAAAACACATTTATAAAAGAGGAGAAAAAATATTCTTGAGAATTACAGGCCAATAACTCTTATATCTAATCTAAAAGCCTTAAAAGTTCGGCTAGTTTCTTTTTTTACTAAAGATCATATAATATCTAATTGCTAGTTTGGTTTTACTGATAACAAGTCAACTAATGATGCCATTCCTATGCAGTAGTCAAATATCTATAGGCTTGGAGAATTCAAGACCATGTGCTGCAGTGTTCATTGACTTAGCAAGTAAGCCACTCGCGGTTTATATTCAGCTGGTATAAGAGGACCTGCTCACTTACTAATTGAAAGGTACCTGAAAAATCGACACCAAATGGTTGAGATTAATAACCGTTTCAGTAATCCGAGAACTGTAACCACAGAGTACAGTCCTAGGGCTCATATTTTTCCATATATATTCATAAATAACTGTTTAACATTGATGTTTTCGGTAAAATCATTTCTTTTGCTGATAATACAGTTTTGTTTGTTGAAGGTAACGATTGGAACGAAGTCGAGAACCGCATTAGTTCGGACTTGCAACTTATGTCACAGTGGCTTGACAATAATTTATTAACAATCAACTCAGATAAAACGCAATACTTGCCCTTTTCAAATTATAATGATCGACTACCTGCAAACAATAAACTTACTATAAAACTATTGTTTAGGGACAGTTGTCTTTACGTAGAGTTGAGCATGATACCTGAATTCATATTGACTCAAATGGAACTTCTATATGGAACAGTTAGTGAAAAAGTTACGATCCTTAATGTATTTATTCCGGCAACTTACTAAAATATCTCATAATAAATTACTACTTATTTTTCACTGGTGCAATCACTTATATTTATGGAATAATTGGTTTGGGTGCTGCCTGTCATATAATTCTTCAGCCGCTTTACGTTAAACAAAAGGAATTGTGAAAATTATATTTGTTAAATCTGCGATATCCATCTGACTTCATTTTTACTCAATTTCAGATACTTCACATTAAAAATTTATATTACAAATATATATAAAATATAACTTACTGGTTAATTCAAAAACTCACTAGAATGAAACACGCTTTAAAATTGGAGAAAACTTAACTGATGGACAAAAAAAATCCTTTTATACTGGTCAAAAATTTTTTAACGCACTACCTCTAGAACTGAAAAATAAAATAAAATTAAAATCATTAAAAAAAAATAACTAAGCTGCTAATTAAAATAATAATAATAATAATTATTATTATTATTATTATTATTTATATTATCATTATTATTATCAGAGTCGTATATCTGGGATTGTTTGTTCGCTAACCAAAACTAACCAACAACATTTTGAATAAAGGCTGTTTATTATAATTATTTTTATTATTATTTACTACTAACCTTAATAGCTAGTATGTAATATCCATACAAATTTTGTTTACGGAAATAAGTTATTAATTAACAGTTTCAGTCAAGCTCTGAAGGAGGAATGCAGAGGTTTTGTAAAAAGCATTACAGTAGCCTGTGGAAGTTACTTTGAAAAATCATATGACGTTTCCTAAAATTCCCTATTTAATTTTTTATTTTGGTTAGGAAGACATGAAAAAATAATTAAGAGTAACTACTTTTTGAGAGCTTGCAAAATAAGTACTACTAAGTACGTAACTTTAAAAAAATCTTTTAAATGGCCGATTTAACGACTTCACTCGGGTATATTTACGGGTAATGATGACAACAATGTTGTGTTTACCCAAGAACTTCTTAAATACTTGTTAAATTTTTTGTAATCTTTTCCACAATACCCTAAGTTGTTTTGTTCTGATACACATTTTTTTATTAAATCTTAAAAGAAAATAGTTTTAATTTTTTTTTATTCAACGTTATAAGAAAATTGTTTTATATTCTACACCTATTCGGAACAGAACAATATTGTAAACTTCTTAAATACATTCAAAATAATTTTTCGTAAGTGAGTAAAAATTATAAAGCAAACTGAAAATATAAAAGAAAGTATATCCACGAAATTATGAATTTCGATTGATAAGTAAGAAAAAATAATTTTGCCTTACACCTTACAGCTACTACATCCAATACTGCTAAACTTATATTTACTTAATAATTTTAACAAAAAAAATCATTCGATGTTCGTTTTCTCGGAAAAACAGAAACAGAGATAACAGAAAAAGGATTGGGTCATTTTTTTTGTATTGGTTGGCAATGAATTCTATATTTTCGACCCATCAACAGCAAGTGCTTGAATCTTTAACACACCAAGTTCTGCACAACTGAACAGCAACGAGGAGGAAAATCACATACATTTTCTAAATAAAATGGAAAAGAGTAAAAAAAAATGGTTGCTCGTAAAGAGTGATTTGCCGTAGGGTTAGTTTGAAACTTCAATCGGCTGACTAACTTGTTGGGTGGCCCTATGCAGAAGGGCCATCCGATTCCCAGGTGCACCGATTGTATTTCTGGATTGCAAATGCGTTAGGGTAAACGCAGTTTGCATGCAAGACGAGTTTCTAAAAAAAAAGCAATTTCTATGTGAAGTTTTGCACGCCATTATTGTTACCACGCGATTTCCGTTAATATTTCATTTAGACTAACTGTGCCGTAATATATGATAAGCGATAATTAATCAGCATTTGCGGCGGACACATAAATGGCGAAATTTCAATTTATAGTGGTGAAAATCGCAATTTTTTCAAATGGCTGATAAAGGTGTCGCACTGAAAGGTTTAAGTCCAGATACGACAATATATTTTCGAGAAACGATAACGTCCAGTTTTCTGAAAATGTGTGACATATTCAGCGGCATTACTTATCGATTTACGCTGACTTTAATGCACCCGTGCGGTTTTAGAACTACCGTCTAAGGTCACACTTAATAGAGTTTCACGGTTTTGAATTAAACGACTCCGTCATAATTATTATAATCTGCCGCAATTCAGTTGAATTTATCTTTATTTTTTCCGGAAATACCGAATAATGTTTGTTTTTCTGTGTTAGAGACAATTTTTTTTGTCACGACTGCCGTCAAATTATTTCATATCGAAAATTGTAATTCGTAATTGTTTGTGTGTTTTCCTATCAAATGGAGTTGTACTTTCAGAGCGAATTCTGTTATATTATTGTGAATAGGACGGAAAATAGAAATAAATACTTAACAAAAAAGCCCAAAGTTAACTCTTTGGTGAATTGACATTTACGTTTTAAGTAAATACAGAGTGTGTAATGAAACACCTTTTTTATACTCAATGTTGTCAGATATTGTGTCGATACCCGACTCCATCTTTTCCCAGCAAGGTTAATATGGCAAATTTTTTCTTTTGACATTAAATTCCATATTTCGTTTAATAACAGAGGTAAAGAGATAACTAAAAAAACAAGATGCTCGGAAAAGATGGAAACTGTACACGTAAAAATCTTAAATTTAAATAAAATTATTTTTCACAACATAATTTCAATTCGAGTCAGCAGTTGGCGAAAGTTTAGTGGTGCATTAATTTTGATGCGCACTTTATGTTGAACGTCAAGCGTAAGAAATTTTAATATCATAATTAATTATTCTCATAATAATCTATTTCACCTTAGGATTACATTTCCTACATATTAAAGCTCTGCCTGTTATTTTGTCTACCATAATTAATGGCTGACATGTCTTTATGAATTTTCTGCCACGTGACCTGAAAGATTAAGCTAATTAATAATTTTATGGCTCGACTGATATAAATACAAAACTAACCAAAAATGTTCAATATTTTGGCCTGTCGAATCGGCTCGGGTCTTGTGAATTTATTTAATCCTAGAGAAAGTTCCCTCATATTTGTCTGATTTTTCTTTTCAATTAACTTTCCGCTGCAAAGGCCACATGAATTGACTTGTTGATTGCACATTCTATGGCCGTGATCAGGCAAGCGTGGGAGGTTTTGACCACTAACCACGGGGAGAAATTCCTGCGGACTACGCAACGCCGCTAATTTGTGGAAAAATAGAGAACTTGATTTTATTTCCTACCTTCCTACCTTCCTACCACAAATCGTTGCCTACGGTAAGGTTTCGCAGGAAAGGCTTGGGTTTATCGCGTTGCCTAAAAATGAAGAGCGAAAAAGTGTGAAGACTTGAAGGCAATAAGTTTGACAAGCCATTTGCTACACAGTTGCCAAATTTTATACCAGCAATGCAGAGCTATGAACCACAGCGTATTTGCATGTTTTGCTGACTACTAAAAGGGTTTTGATAGAGTGAAACAACAAAAAATAGTGGGAATTCTGAAATACGAAAGTTTGGATGGAAAGGAAATCATTATAGTAATTAACCTATATTAGAATCAATCAGTTTTTGTCAGAGTCGGAAATGTCACAATACAAGAAATGATCATACTGAGGGGTGTAAGGCAGGGCTGCATTATTTCTCCTTTATTATTTAATAATAATTCAGAACTCATATTTAGAGAAACTTCATAGCACATAGACTAAGGAATATCTTTTAATGAAGCAATATTCGATATGCAGACGATACGGTCGCAAAATCTTATGAATAGAATAGCAGAATGTAGCCAACATTCACACCAAAAAAAAACTAATGATTCTAAGAAAAGACAACATTAATAACTGTGAGCTTATGATCAACCAAAAACCGATAGAGCGGGTGAGCGGTGTAACTTATCTAGGAAAATTATCTATGCCCATTGGTAGATCGTT